AAGTCGACACAAGTGTCGTTCTATCTTCGTCAATCTCTAAATGTCAAGAAAGATAGAACGACACTTGTGTCGACTTGTGTCATCAAATGGGAAGGGCCCATTATACACTATATTATAAAAACTATCATTTGTATTAGAGAAACATAAAAACTTTTTTATTATAAAAACATTATGAAAACTATCATTATAACTTTATACTGAGTGCTTTCCATTTGATGACACAAGTCGACACAAGTGTCGTTCTATCTTCGTCAATCTCTAAATGTCAAGAAAGATAGAACGACACTTGTGTCGACTTGTGTCATCAAATGGGAAGGGCCCATTATACACTATATTATAAAAACTATCATTTGTATTAGAGAAACATAAAAACTTTTTTATTATAAAAACATTATGAAAACTATCATTATAACTTTATACTGGGTGCTTTCCATTTGATGACACAAGTCGACACAAGTGTCGTTCTATCTTTCTTGATATTTAGAGGTTGACGAAGACAGAACGAGACTTGTGTCGTTGTGTCATCAAATGGAAAGCACCCATTATATACTATATTATAAAAACATTATGAAAACTATTATTTATATTATATAAACATTTTTGAACAAAATTATGTTGGCGGCGCGAAAGTATATCCTAGTGCAGGCGGCGCGGGTGTATATCCTGGTACAGACGGCGCGGATGTATATCCTGAAGCAGGCGACGCGGGTGTATATCCTGGAGCAGGCGGCGCGGGTGTATATCCTGGTACAGGCGCCGGTAGTATATATCCTGGTGCAGGCGACGCGGGTGTATATCCCGGCACAAGCGGTGTGGGTGTATATCCTGGTGCAGGCGGCACGGGCGTATATCTTGATGCGTTTGGCCCATCTTTTTTTGTTTCTGGATTGCTCGCCGCAACATATTCTTGAATTGCTATAATTATAAACAAATAAAAATGTGTAATACAAAGTTTTCCATACTTTACCATAGTTTTACTAAAAAGTAAAATGTTAAAATTAATTCAAAGCAGTATAGTGGACTTTCTGAGACATGCACAAATATTAAAATTAACACAAAATTATTTTTACATGCTTAGAAAGTCTACTATACGGGTTTGACTTAATTGTAACATTTGATTTTTTATAGTGTAACACCATATACACCATTACACTCTATTTTACTTACTTTATGTGTTACTGGCGCCGGATTTTGTGGTGCACGTATATATTCTGCTGATGGTACTGACGTATATCTTGGTGCAGGAATGAATTTTTGTGGCATCCTAGGTGTATATCGTAGTGTGGACGACATGATATGCTGTGGCGTGGATGCCATAGATGTATGCTCTGGCGCGGATGCCACGGATGTATGTTCTGGCGCGGATGCCATCAATGTGTGTCCTGGCGTAGATGTATGCTGTGGTGCGGATGCCACGGATGTATGTTCTGGCGCGGATGCCACGAATGTGTGTCCTGGCGTAGATGTATGCTGTGGTGCGGATGCCACGGATGTATGTTCTGGCGCGGATGCCACGAATGTGTGTCCTGGCGTAGATGTATGCTGTGGTGCGGATGCCACGGATGTATGTTCTGGCGCGGATGCCACGAATGTGTGTCCTGGCGTAGATGTATGCTGTGGTGCGGATGCCACAAATGTATGTCCTGGCGTGGATGTATGCTGTGGTGCGGATATTATGAATGTGTGTCCTGGCGTGGATGTATGCTGTGGTGTGGATGTTATGAATGTGTGTCCTGGCGCGGACGTCACGGATGTATGTTCTGGCGCGGATGCCATAAATGTGTGTCCTGGCGCGGATGCCATGAATGTGTGTCCTGGCGTGGATGTATGCTGTGGCGCGGATGTTATGAATGTGTGTCCTGGCATGAATGTATGTTCTGGCACGGATACCATGGTTGTATGCTGTTGTGCTGATGCCATGAATGTGTGTCCTGGCGTGTTTATATATCCCGGCGCGGATGCCGTGGATGTATGCTGTGGTGCGGATACCATGAATGTGTATCCTGGCGTGGATGTATGCTGTGGTGCGAATGCCATTAATGTGTGTCCTGGCGTGGATGTATGTTCTGGCGCGGATACCGTGGATGTATGTCCTGGCGTGGATTTCATAGATGTATGCTCTGACGCGGATGCCGTTGATATATGTTCTGGCACGGATTTCATAGATGTATGCTCTGGCACGGATACCGTTGATGTATGTTTTGACGCGGATGGCGTTGATGTATGTCCTAGCACGGATTTCATAGATGTATGCTTTGGCGCGGATGCCTTTGATGTATGTCCTGGCGCGGATGCCGTTGATGTATGTCTTGACGCGGATACCATGGATGTATGTCTTGATGTGGACGTTGGACAACCGGCGCAGGCAGGTTCACTTCTTGCTGTAATTGAAAAATAATAAAATTAATGATTATTTATTGGTAAAAATAATGGTCGCATTCAACAGAATATTTATTTTGCAACTTTTAAGTTTTCAAACAAATAGAATATCAATAGGCTCTAATGAAGTCAATTACAAATACAATAAACCTTTTTA